TACTGAATAGAGGTGAAGAATCACTTCCCTTGATCTGCTGGCAACACTCCTAACCAATGCAGCCCAGTATGCTGTTAGCTGTCTTTGCAACAAGGGCCCACCGGTGGCTCATATTCAGCTTATTGTCCATTGTAACCTGCAGGTCATGGGATTATTCCATCCTAAATGCAGGACTTTGCATTTGTCCTAATTGAACCTTGTGATGTTTCTTTTGGTCCAATCCTCCAATTTCATAGTTTCATAGTAGCTAGGGTCAGGAGGGACCTGAACGGATCATCTAGCCTGACCCCCTGCCACAGGCAGGAATGAATGCCGGGTTCACAAGACTCCAGACAGGTGATCATCTAACCTCTTTTTGAATTTACCCAAGGTAAAAGGTAAACTTCAACTGAAGCCAAAGAAGCCAGGACTTCACTTTCAGTTTTTGGGTGTCAGACATGGGTCCGCAGAGACCTATTTTTTCTAAATGCTAAGCACCCACATTTCTTATTGTGGGTTTCATCTGGCATTCCAGGTACAGAGAACTTTTGAGAAGTCAGCTGTAAGGTGTGCCAAATTATTCCTTAATCACCCGACCTGTGCAGTTACCCCCCAAGGTGGGACCCACTCTTAAAAATTCAGCTGCATATTTGCTTAGTTGTGCAGCAGGACAACTGTGGGAAGGGAGGAGACTAGGTTGCAGTTGGGAGAGGAAGAAGGAGATAACAAACCTCATATGACAGATGTTAACCAAGTTGCTTAATGCACTACTGAACAGCATTTAGATACCACAGTGATTGGGAATGTATAAGTATAGAATAGAAAAGGACATGGTAAAAGGCTGTGCATACTGAAAGAGTACTGGAATGATAGCTTATAAATTTGTCAAGGTCTCTCTGAATCCTAGTCCTACCCTCCGGTGTATCTAATACTCCCCTCCCCCACAACTTAGTGTCATCCGTAAATGTTATGTTAAAGATAGGAGGCTTTAACAAAGGCCTCACTGGCTTCCAGGGGTTAGAACATGCTTAATCCTTGTGATAATTAATCAGGACCACCTTTTTATACTATTATTATTTTTAATTCTGGTAAAAGCTTAAAAATCAATATGGGCTAATTGCTTGTCAGATGTTCATGCTTTTCAACAGAATCAATTATGAGTTACACAGATACAATAGGAAAAAAAAGTGCATCTTGATCTACAGCCTTTCTTCATAACATTTCAGCATAAGTGAACCACATATCCATCTGTTAAAAGAAAAGAAACAGAAAGGTAAAATAATCCCTTCTTGGGCTGAGACCTTGTAAGTTAAATTCAGTTCATTGTAGATTTTATGGTCAAGTTTTAACTCCCTGAAAAATGGGGATTTACAATGGAAGTGCTGACAAAACTTTTAAACTACAGCAGTGGAAATGGCGCCGCAATAATTTATAATCTACAGGCAGCTCTTGGGTTTATTATCACAATGACAAATGCACTGTCATTGTTAATAGGATATTTCCCAGCAAGGACTTCTTGTTATGCAAGCCAGGTTCAGTATGTCATGCAGCATGATAGCAATAAAGTCTACAAGAATTTGTAATGAACTTCAATTACTAATAGATTATGGTTAATGGGAAATATGTGCAGTAAAGATATGGGTTTTTATATGCACCTTCTGGTACTCTACAAGGCAATGATTTATGCTACAATTTATGTTAACATCCTCCTAGTATGAAAAAAGCCTAAATTGGTGTAAAGCTGCTTCATCCATAACAAATATTTAAGATAATTTTGCACATCATGTAAATGAAGATGTAAAATTAGATATTAATCCATTTCATTTTAGCATTGGTATTTTTATTAAAAATGAAGACTTTGCCCTACTGTGTAATGACATAAAAAAAATCCTAGCATGGGCTGCAAGTATAAATTAAATTGATATAAAAATGATGATAGCATTTGAGATCTGAGTGCATTTGTTCAATTTCCTATTGTAATTAACAGCATGATTAGAATATTTGTATATATATAATTTAAAGTGACAGACCTGAGGCTGAGACCTATTGACTGAAATTCAGTGGCATCCTCATGGAGAAGGGCACTTCTTGTCACAATCATATCACATTGCATAAGAGCCATGAGTCAACAGCTTTTTGCGGCAAAGGCTGATACTTAGCTATTATTTTAACAGAAAGTTCCCATGAACTTTTTTTCCTTCTTTACCTACAAGCAGTCCATGTATGCTAGATTATGTGCTCATCAGGCAAGCAGAATCTACCATTTAAACTGACTTGCTGCTTCATCACTGTAGTCAGGGAGCAAAGCAATGCCGATTGTTAACTTTATATCACGTTGCACTTTGCTACCTTCTGAAAAATATATTGGGTTAAAAAATGGGAAATCCATATTGGCAAGATTGCATCTTCTACACATATAGACACAACACAAAAGGCCAGAATTTCATTTTATTTCAATCAGTTTCACTGGTGTGACTACATTGACTCCAGTGGACTTGTTCATAATGTACACCTATGTGAATGACAAAGAGAGAAGGCCCTGCAGGTTCAACTTGTTTACTATGAAAGGGCTGGGGACAAAAAGACCTAAAAGGAAAGTATAGGTGCGGTCTTTGTTTGAGAAGTTCTGTTAGTAGTTTTGGTCCATTCCAAAGGCAAAATAAAGTAAAATGGACCAATTGAAAAAGGACCTGGGAAAGCTTTCAATTATGTGTAAATCTGTTGAGTGATGTGGACTTTCCTTACCTGTTCTAAAATAGTACTTTCCCACTGCACAATTGAGGCTTATACTCACCTAGAAATTGGTTTCTTTAATCCATCCTTTGGTAGATATGGGATGCAGTTCGGGACGTGTGAGCAATCTCTTATAACTTCTATGGAGCAAAAAGAATAAAACTAGACCATCCCGCACTGCCTCCAGACCATAGTTGTAACACTAGTTTCATGGAAATGGGCTTATCTGTATTTAAAATTAGAAGTATTTTCTATCTTTTTAATTTTCCCCTGGTCTAAAACTCATTTTGTCTCTGCTAACTTGAAGTGGTTGGAAATACAGAATGCAGCTTGATTTGATATGCTTTTCTCAGTTTTTTAATAAAGATCTCAGAGCTCAAACACAATAGGAACAAACCAGACTTCCCCTCATTTTTCTGTAGTCAGATAAGGAATTCTCTTTCAGGTTGAGGTTAAGTGCCCCTTTTTATAGCAACTTCTGTTTTTAAGGCAGGAACCATGGGAATCAGTGATTAGATTATACAAAGCAATTTTCCTCTTTTTTTTTTTTTTTTTTTTTTTTACCTGTTAGAGAAAAATTTATAATTAAATGGGAAAGCAAGCTGTCATGTCCTCTAAAGCCAGAGAAATAGGACTCCATAGCATCATTCACAGGTGTTTTGTTCTAGTTCAACAAGTCTGTTAGTGCTGCGATATAAAACCATAATACCATTGAACCAGGCACTAGTGGAAATGAATGTTCCAGATGCTGGAAGCACTGCAGTCCACCTGGGAGTATGCTGTGGTCCTGTCTAAATTAAATCCTTATCAGATCAGTATCACATCAAAAATACTATCACCTTGTTGGTGCCCAGTAATCCAGAAGTTTCTGTCTTGGGATACTTGAATCTTGCATGTGTGAAAGAGAGATGTGGATACTAATTTAGCCTTTGCTACTGGCTCTTCAGTTAATTACTTGAGAGACGTAAAGAGAGAGAGACAGAAACCGTGACTCTCTCTCCATGCTGAAACGGGCTCAGCAAAACTGGAACTTGTGCCTCTGTACAAATTCGTGCACCGCAACTTCAAAAAGGCAGAGGTTTCTGGTTGTGTTGTAAGTTATTAAAGACATTACAGGAACACACAGCGCAATGGCAAAAAGCCTAGTTTCTTATTTTCTCGTCTTTTTTTTTTCATATTTGCTTCTTTGATGTGGTCAGATTCCTGTCTTGCATTTTCATTTTACTTTGTACATTTTTTTTTTTATATTGAGCAGTTCTGTGTCCCAAGGATACACTTTTTCAGGTCAAGGTAGTGTGGCAGTATCCAAACGAGGTGATCTCTTTCACAAGCAGTGAAATCATTCAACCTTCTTTTTAATTTAGTGGCCATATTATAATAAGGGATTCTCAACAGCCCCCAAGTGTCACTCAAGGGGCAGTGCCACAGGCAATGGATGACAGATAGCTGAATCCTTTATTTGCCGTACATTAAAAATGCATACAGCATTCCATGCTAATAAGATGCATTTTTCCCATCCCCTTCTCATAATAAAGTACTATGTCATAGTAAGGACTCAGAGAATATATTTAGGTCAGCTAATATATGACATTATATATACTGATGTTTAAAAATGACATTAGATTTTGTTCAGCTCAACAGCTGGGAAATAGTGTGGCTACATTTTAAAGTAGGCTGGAATTAACTGCATTTCAAATAATTCTGCCCCAAATTAATACAAATAGCTATTAATGCCCGATACAGTCTCTACTAAATTGCCTGTTACCTCAAATCTTTAATATATTTATATTGCATCAGAGATGTATATGCAAAGTAAAACATTTTCCCTTGCATTAATGCATTATCTAAAGTAGACAATTTTTATACAGAATCAAAGTCTTTCAAAGGTGTGTGACACGCCTACTTCACCGGATAAATTGAACATTTCACTATAAAAGTCACTGAAGCAACTACATTGTACTCCACTAACAACCGTAACTTGTATATAGCACAACAGTTTCTAAACCCATAAAATAATTTAGCAAAACAAATTCATCAACCACTGAACTGAAGACCGAAGTTTAGAGAGAAGGGATTTGGGATTAAATCATTTCACCAGTACTGAGAAGCACGAAAAACTTTTCCTGAGTAAGGTATGTCTTACTGTTCACAGGAAAAAGAAGTAAAAAAATAATCCTTATTAAATGTCTTGCACTGTATATGACACCAAGACCAATACACCCCAGTATAACTCCACTGACAACAAGAACTCAACTGAAGCCAGATCAGTTTTGTACTCTAAGTTTTATTTTACATCTTATACATTATAGAGCCTACAAACCTTATTCAGTGTTTGCTACACAAAGCTTCAAAGATAGAAAACTGGGAGAGTGCATATGTATCTAACTAAAAACACAAACACAGGAAACCATGTTACGCTAAACTTGGAGATCAACTCATCCTGACCAGAGGATTTGCTTTCTAACTGCATCATCCAATCCATGTCAGAAATCTGGGGGTCTGAGGTGACCAGCTAATGTACGTTTGTTTGTATGGAAGTAGTGCTTGCCATTGCTGAGGATCATCTACAATAATGTGCCAAGCTGAGTATGGTATTAATGGTTCTGAGAATCGGCTATGAGTGTTAGTTGATCTGGTATTTATATGTGCAGAACACAGTAAAATCCCTGTTATCCGGCATGAGTGAGGAACGGGGGTGCTGGTAAGCTAAAAGTGATGGTTAGCTGAGGTACAGGGTTTCTGACCAGACACAGAGCAAGGGGGAAAGGGGGTGGAGGTGGCCGCGCAGGGTGGTGAGCAGTGGCAGCTGCCGCATGTGAGCTTTCCTTTGCAGCAGGAGGCAAAGTGGCATGGTGCGGTGCCATGTGTGTCCCGCCACTTGTGGCGTAGCACCACGCTGTGTGCGTCCCACCGCATGCGGTGCAGAGTGGCACGGTGCCGAAATTCCAGTTAATAAGGTAGTCCAGTTGAAGTACCGAATAACAGAGACTTTTCTGTATAGAAGTACTGACAATGAGACAATATGAGAAGATACAAGAAGATAAGAAGAAGAGAAGTATGAGAAGGTAAGTAGTAGGTAAAACAATATAAATTAAATCTGGAAATATGGAAACAGTAAAGCAGTACTATTAAGTGATGTTGACAAATAGGCCAAGTGATGTTTGCACAAGATGAGAGGGTACTAGAACAATAACTGGAGGTTGTGTCATTTTGATGGTAGTGTCATAATAACGTCAAAAACCATTAGCAGCTGAGGAGCCAGGAGCAAGATCAGTACTTTTGGAATGGGAGTTTATAAACTATAAGAGGAAAAAGGGAGGTTTCCAGATGTATTGCTTTTAAGAAAAATATTTTGACTATACAGAGCATTTCAATCACAGTGATCAAATGTCTTCAAGTTCATTATTAAACATTAGGCTGAAGTTTATATTTTGGTCCTTGCTGGGTTTTAATTAACAGTCCCACTTACATGCATTTTGATTATAAAGCTATTGTATAACTAAAGGGAGTTCACTATTCAGCAAGTTATTCATTCATATATTAGTAAAGAATTAGCAATACATAGATATACATTTGTAAAACAGCTACTGCTTTCATACCTTCTAATATTTCTAATATGTTTATCAGTACCCCAGTAAATGTACCAGTCTACAAAACATGCAGAGCTTTTACAGTGCTTATGGGCTGAGAAATCCAGTAGCACTTATTTATGGCTCAATCACTATTGCACTCAGGTTATTATTAAAAAAGACCTTTCTGTCTCTCTCTTCACTGCATTCAGGTTTTTTCAGATCTTCCATTATTGCGTTTTTCAAATGAAGTGGAGCAGTTTTGCTAAACTCATAAGTTTCTGTCAAAAAATCCAGCAGAAGCTCCCCATCTTTATTTCCTTCAATAAAGCAATTTGTTATATCCATACTGGATGGAAGCTCAAAAAGCTGGTACTTCAGCCCCTCCATATCGAGTACCTTTTTGACGTCTGCAGATGAAACATAACAGCTAGGAGCATTTAGTGGTAAGAGAGATCCATATTTCTTCCACAGTGTGTCCCAGCCACTGGATCCTGCCAGAGAATTTTAGGGAGTTGATAATATGATTTAGGAAAGACTACTGAACAAAGTTTCAAGTGGTCATTTTAAAAGATTATGGTCCTAATCTAAGCAGAGTCTTTTCTGAACTCAGGAGAAATACCTTAAAAGATGGGGCCAAAAGTGACTGTACGCTACCTATACATAGGTAGGATTCTGGGATAGCTGGAGGAGCTAGATCCACACCAAGTTTACACTGGTACTGGAACAGTCTCAAGGACTGACCCCAAATACCTAGAGTGCACAGCCTCCACATCCCCACTGAACGCAGCATCTTAAATAAGTCCTATACCACAGGCCTTCTACACTGGGCCTATATCACCCAGAATCCCCTCCCCCCTGCCCGCAGAGCCTAGGGACAAAAGTTGCACATAACCCAGCTGAAGTGATCAGAAACCAGTTTAAACTGGTAATAGAACAGAAGTTCAGTGCACATAAACTGCTTTCCAAATAGCCAAAACTGGTTTAAGATAAACCTGGTTGAATGTAGTATCAGACTTGACCGATTTAGGTCCAGCTGGTTTTTGGAACTTCTGTCCCAGACCAGAATGTCCCTAGATACAAATATTTGAAACCTAAAGATTTGAAGCTCATTCTTTCTCATGTATTTTGGTTTACATTAGTGCCAGAAACTTTGGAGTATGCTCTATCACCTATTTAAAGAGGTAGATAGGAGTGTGCATGTATGCAATACAAAAATAGATGCAGGAAGAGAGGGAGAGGGAGAGAGACCAGGATACTGTATGAACCAGCAAGACCTCATCCTGCTGCTCCTGAGGTTGACAAAATTGACTTCAGTGATGTAGGATTGGGCTTTTACTCTGTGCTACATACATGTTTTGTGCTTTCTAAGACTTATACGTGATAAGTATAGTAACTCAGTTGTATCTAATACTTACCTGGGGCTATCCTACGGAAACTGCCAAAAGGCCAGGGTACAGGATGGTTCAGGAGTCTGGAGCAAAATTCTGCTTCAGAGTTACTATATAGCCAGGAAACACATACCTGCTGCTCCGCCTCCTCCACGCATAGGTGGGAAGGAGGACATCGTGCTTTTCTCCCCTATCTCACCTGGTTGGGGTAAGCTAATTGGCATCTGGAGCCATCTTTCTGACTGCACTTTACTGTACAAGGGGAATGGAGAGAAGGAAGTGTTCTTGTTCTCCTCTTTACTCCCTCAATATATCTAAAGATGGCTAATCTGGCTCATAGAGATCACAGAGCTATGTGGATACAAAGATATGTGGATACATCTTCAAAGCAGAGATGTGCTTTGTATCAACAGAGGGCTGAGATGAGGACAGTTGAGAAAGGAGCATTTGGGTAGGCTGAAAACAAAGCAAGATTAACGGCTTTATTTTCTGAAATCCCAGGTCCATGACTCCACATTCTGGATGTAAATCATTTACATAGAGGGTGATGCACCCTGACAGGGTGGTATGGAAGTAACATGAGGCCTAATAAGGGGGTGTTGAGAGTCGTGATGGTAAATTCCCTTAACCAAAACGAGCTGTTTGCCTTTTTTTGGAAAGCATCTTATTTGCAGATGGTTACCTACAGTAAAATAAACACTTCCATGGTTTGGAAGAGGCTCTGTGATATCTTTTCACCTGGTGAAAATTGAACGCAGGGCACTAATTGCAGAAAAATTGCTGGTGTCAGTGTTCTGTGACTCAGTGCCATTTCTGCACTGAGCAATTATACACTACCTGACTGAAGCATTATTTTAATAGCTCTCTGTAGGCACAACATATGGTGCTACTTTTGCTTTCAAGATGATGTAAACTGAATGGTATTTTTTTTATTATGTTGAAAATAACACAACATAACTCTGGTAGCTGCACTGGCTTTCTGACAAGTATAGAGTGGGAGGAACTGAAAACATATCCGAGTGACCAAGTTTTCCTTAGTGTCCCTTCTCTGTTTCCTGTTCTCCCACTAGATAAAACATTAACACATCCTAATGTACTAATGCAGGAAATTATATCTGGGGGGCGGAGGGGAGTTGAGGGACAAATAGTTTGAAACTGGCTTTTTTGTATTTATTTCCCTGTCTGTTTCCATCTTATGAGTCTCTTTTCATTTCATTCTGTTCAGGGTTTCTCTCCCCTTCACATGTATTACTTTCTTTCTTCCCTGCTATTCTGATCAGCCTCTGCTCTGGCTTTCCTTTTTCCTGTTAGCAGTTTTAGTTTCTGTTCTTCTGTATTCCATTATCCATTCATCATTAAGCTTTTTCAGAGGTTACCGGCTACTCCAAGACATCCCGCTACAGACATACAATGTCTACTCAAATCAAAGTTGACCTTGAATTTAAGACAATCCCCTAATAATTATATTCTATATCTGAAAAAATGTATTAATTTGTTATAATTTTCCACATATAGAATCTAATTACTGGAGGGGTGTCTTTAATTCATCGCTGCCCCCCCGCCACTGCTCCCAACAGTCTCTACTGTTCCCCTCCCCACATTCCCTTAATGTCAGACGCTGTTTGGGCTCTGTTCCCTCCCAGAGCACAGCAGGTGGAAGCACAGCCACTGCCATCCATTCAGCAGTGTCGATGGTGCTGATTGGCTGGGCAAGAGCCATGCATCAGTGTCAGCACTGCTGATTGGTCAGGCAGGGGACAGAGTTTCCATGTGCTCTGTGCCCAAGAGGGAATGTAGCCTGAACCAGAGCCAAGCTGTGCCTGATGGTAAGGTGGGGGAAAAGGGGACAGAAGCTGCACAGGGCCCATGGAGGGGGGGGTGGCAGAAAGTTGCAGTGAGTCTGACTCTGGCCCCAGCCCAGGCTCAGGGCCAGAGTCTGAGCCACAGCAGCCACCTGCCTTCCCTCCCCACTCTGCTTTGTCTGCAAAACTAAGACAGGAGGCTTTTTTTCTCATGCTGACTAGGAAGGGAGAAACCTCATCTTAGATTCAAGTAAATAGAGTACTTGCCGACGTGTAGGCAGGGAGGACGGAAGATTGCAGCACAAAAGTCAAACGTGCAAAATCAGCAATCATTAGTTGCATATGTATCTGAGTGTATAATACTTAAGAGTCATTCATGTAATCTTTGTGAATCATGAGTTGCATTTTCAGATCCAAGTACCATGAAAAATGAGGACTCTCAAAACCTACTAAGTTGGGTGAGAACGTCAAATATGAATACTAGTGCAGATTTTTTCTAAATAAATTCATTTTGACACCCTTTCTTCATTCACCTCCCATACGTATTTCAGTGACCACGTATACTGGCTGGAAAAGTTTTTCATGACTATCCCAAAATATTGCCAACAACCCAAGTTGAAGAGCTTTGCTTGGCAATCAAAGGACATAAACATGTTAGTTGATCTGTGCATCCATTCAAATCTGTTATAATTTAAAATATGGAATATGGGGAATTAACAGCTCCAGTCCATGTGTGTCTACACATGCCCCTATGGCACCATTGTTATTGCGCCATCATCTCCTTTTGGAAGTACTAAATGATGGTGCAGTAAAGCCTGTACTGCGCTGTGCCAGCAGTGCACGATTATTTTTAGCCCCTAGGTCACCATAGCAATGCATTATACTGAAGGAGCATGTTGCTATGGTGACCTAGCAGCAGCAACATGGTTTTTGCCCATGGATGCTACATCGCTGTAGCATGTTGCTATGGTGATGTAGCGTCACATGTAGACACCCCCCTACTACAAACTAAAAATTATTCAAAATTTTTTTTTTTTAAGAAAAAAAAAACCTTGTAATAAACATGTATCAGGAAATTGCAGCTTTTTTAACAGGCAGTTCATGGCCTGTAAAAGAGATACAATGGCTCTACAAAAAAAATCAAACAACACAAATATTGCCCAAATCTTATAAAAACAAAAACAAAGCACTGAACAAATTATCCTTATTCCTGTAGAAATAATCATAGGTGAGGATTACAAGGTATTGGATCTTATTATCCAAATATTCCTTATAACTCAATGATATATTGAAAATTTTCCTGAGTTGTGTTAGATGCCAATCACAGCACCTCTAATTTAATCAGATTCATCGGATTTCACAGTAAATCTTAAATTATTCTGATTTTCCCTTTTGTTGTTGAATTGATCATGTACAGCAAAGCTCTCCAATTTCTGGCCCTCCAGGGGTCATGGGCCACACTTCCTCAGGGGCAGAAGCAGAAGCTACAATAAGCAGAGGCCGAGGAAGAAGGTGGTAATGCCAGGAGCAGTGCGGGGAGGATCTGTCGCAGGAATAGGTGCTAGAAAGTGTAGTGTAGGTGTAGTGACAGCTGGGAGAGCAGCACCTAGACCCAGGGGCAGAAGCATTGGAAGCTGTGGAGGTAATGGCAGCAGGAGCACACAGGTCATGATTCAAGCACTCACTGGACATGATTTGACCAGGCATGATGTACAGTATTTCAGCCAGATTTGAAGTATCCCATCTGATCCTAAAGATGAGGTTTTTTCCCAGATAAAATGATATTAAGGAAATGGGCAGTTAAACGGGAAAATGAGCCATATGTCTATAAATGCTTGTTGCATGGCATGACATATCAGTTATAGCTATTTACTCAGTTCTACATGCCCCCGGAAGTTATGAGACCTAGTGCCTGATCTTGAAAACAGCAGCTATTGGGGCTAAAACACTGGAGGGTCCTCTGTTGGGGCTTATGCTCACCTGCTATATGCACATAGGTAGCCACATCCCTACCCAGCCAGTGCACAGCCTACTGCACATGCCCAAAAGCCTACGTGTCCAAACTACACAGGTAACAGAATCACCAACTGTGTGTCAGTGCCCACGAGGCCACTTGGAAAACTGTCATTTGGGGGCATAGAAGTCTAGAAGGTGAATCAAAATGTATGTACAGCCATTACATTTAAATCAACATAACTAAGGTTACGCTGATCTAAATAGCCATCTGTGCAGGCATTCAAAAGGGTTAAATCAGGCAAAAAAAATGGCAGGGCTGATCACCTCTGAGGAAGTAAACCAACTTAGATTGGGAACAGGTTAACCTGATCTATTAAATGCCTGAACATATTCAAAGTGCAGCCCTTGGGCTGGGAAAGCCCAGCCATCCATCCTAGCCCTGGGACTGCACTTGTCCTACCCCCGGATCCTGACTGGGCTATTGTTAGGTCCCCTGACCCTCCCAAACCAACAGTTACCCCTTTTCCAGGTCAGTGCCCAGCCACCGAGGCCCACAATTAGCATTGCTGGCTGCTTCTCCAGGCCCTTCCTCTTTAGCTGCCCAGTAAGCAATAGAAGTACTGACGGGCATCACTGGCTTGCCATTAAGACAAAAATGTGGATGTAATCCTTCCCACAAGGTGTCAGGGGCCGTAATAGGCAGCCTAGCCTCAGCTAATTTCCTAGTTGTCTGGGTCTTGGGCTGGCAGCCCTACCCCAGCTAGTGATTCTACCTGGCCACTGGCAGGGCCTCCCCATAGTCTACTGGGAAGAGCAGCCTACTGATTTACTTCCACTCTGGCAGCAAGCTGCACTTTCTCTGAAGGTCTTCTCTGGTAGGCCTCTCTGACCCTGTGTTCTCTGGTTTCTGACACAGCTTGGCTCTATTCGTGGACTCTGGCTTCTTGAATTTCCCCTTGGATTTCCTAACTCGACATCTGACTCCTGAACCTTGACTTGACTTGTGTTTTGGACTCTGCTTCTGTCTCTGACCCTCCTCTGGTGGCCTAACCATTAGGCAAGACTGCCCATGACACAGTCCTTACACAAAGGAAGAGGGGACCAGAACCTGGGTCACTTTCTTCCCAGGCAAGCGCCCTCATCCAGGGCTAATAAGCTAAAAGACGGGAGGAGGCTTTTTCTCTGTCAAATAGCCAGTTCACCTGGACTTTCTGTGATGGAGGTTTTAGGGACTTATGGGCCTTCCTAGGTAAACCAGTATTGCCACAAAGCATAAAGTACCTGATCTCTTCTGAGCCTACTCAAAAGGATAAGTGTAGTCACTGAAGTGGAAATAGTCCCTTTTGCATGTCTACATTTAGATGCTAAAGTAGGACTTGGACATCTTTAGACAAAATGGGATTCAGGTCTGAACTGTGCATGTGGTGAAGAACACCTACCTGATACAATAATAATGAGCAGCTTGGCCTTAGCATCCAGGAGACTATGAAAATATCGGATAGTAGCAGCGATGTCTTGCACATAATAAAGCATCTGGAATGAGAATTGTTATTTTCATTTAAGTGTGTCAGGCTGAAGAGCATTAACTTGATACTGAATACAAACTGGGTACTAGTTGGCTACGAATCTGGGTGGGTGAGGGGGGTGGGGGGAGAAAACGGAAACAGAAAGCCGGAAGAAAGTGAACAGACAATGGGAGAAGCAGGAGAGTAGTGATCCCAGAAAAACCTCAAAGAGAATGAGCTTTCTGGGCAGAGTACTTGCTGAAAAGGCAGGCATGGATTCTGAATGAGGAGAGAGTATGGATGAGGCCCTATATTAAAGAAATGCTGTCCGTAGAATGAAAAAAGTAAAAATGTTACATGTTCTTAATATTTTCTTTTCTCCACCCCTCTTCTCTGCCCCCCCGACACAACTCCATAAAATCCTCTGTCCCTGGTTCACTGGACATCTTTTTGTGATGTCAATGCAGTTTGCATTGTGTCCAGTTATTCTTGCTCCTTTTCATCACTGTGAAAAGAGTGTGCATTTTATCATGGGTTAATTAACACATGAGAAATCCTGGGGTAAAAGTACAGTGAAGATAAGGCACTTATGTCTCTACTGCAAGATCAACTAGGTGATGTCTGCCACAGGTGAAATCACACCTGTCCTTCACTCATGGGCGACTGACACTGCCCGAGTCTGGGGGGGCACCAGATCGCCAATGTGGGGGGAGGGGGCGATTGCCGAGCCAGCGGCAAAACCAGCAGCGCACTTCCAGTGGCACTTCCAGTTTCGCGGCTGGTGCACAGCCGATCTCAGGGGGTGTACATACATTCACGTGCACCCCCTACACGTTACCAAAGACTTTGTTATATTGTTACTGAGGGTAGCCTGCATACATTAATTACCCCGAAGTAAAAAACTGTGCTTTTTGAGAGTGAGGGCAAGATCTACGTCAGCTTCAGTGCACCTCACTGTGCTGAAAAGACCACTTCATAAAGAGAGTAAAATTCTGAAGACAATAAAGTGTATTTCTCTCCTGATTGTTACACATGGCCTGATTAACAGAGCAGTGGTTCTCCAAGGTGACAGTTTACTATAACAGCTTTCATTTCTGCAGTTCCTTTATGACTGCTTATTTTGAATTCTAAGGAAATATGCTCACACATCTTCTCATTCAAGTGCATACTGAGGTCACAAACCTATTGTCTATTTTTAAGAGTGGTGTGTATCTTTGACAACATTTACCATGCAGAGACTTTTACCTGAATCATGTGAATGAAGTCCCATTTTTGAAACTCTTGTCTCGCATTCATTCGTTTTTCATATTCATACGATGTCTCTTTGTGCCAGGTAAACTTTACATTCTCTAGCTTTGATGTCTTAGCTACACGGTCTAAAATACAGAGAGGATGGTACACAGTTCATTTCAATTGCAAATGTAGCATCCATTTCCATTCAGAATTTTAATGTATCCAGACGTTATCTTAAAGTATGACATTTGAGTATCTTTTTAATGTAGCAACAGATTATTCAAAATATTGAACCTATATTTTATATAATGTGAGCAATTAACAGTACTAATGTGAACAGTCCTAATCAAAGGATGACTGGCCAGATTTTTGTAGGATGAAGTATCAAGTGGATATGATGACTTTATCTGTACAAAGTTTGGCACTACGTACTCTAGAGATCCAACAGGCTTTTCAGCACAGATGGGCACAAACATAGAAATTAGGGTCATAATCTGGTTCCAACTTCCACAGAGTCCTGGTATCTGGAACCATGATTTGGCTCACTCAAGAATGAGAAAACATTTAGACCCACATGCAGATGTCCCCTATTTCAGCTGGGTTCAGAATCAGGGCTTTGTAGAGGATATTGCAAAACTGTTGGTCACAAAAGTATCCTCCTATTTACAATAACTGAGAGAGCAATTAAATGTTCAGGAATATTCAAAACAGCAGAGGTTACCACCCAAAGCATAGACCTTCGAGGCTGAATGGAGGCTATGACACATAAGCTAAGTGTAACCAAGGGACTACAGCAACTGGAAGTGCTAGGGCATTAATTGATGGAGCTGTGTAAGTTTGTTTCTGAGAGGACCATGGTGAAATTCCAAAGGAGCAAGGGCAGAGAAAGATAAGGATATAATCAGAACAAGCAACGGGAACATGTTCCTGGGGGAAGCTAAGAGAAAGAACTTTTGAACTAACTGAAAAAGAGGTTTAAAACTGGGAATAAAGGCATTATATCTTGATGTTTTATTCCTGCTGGGTTCAGGGAAACAGGACTTTGTTCTGTTTTATAAACAAATAGGTCTGCCTCATAAAAATACCAGCCTCCAATTACAATTTCTTCTTCTAATCAGAGCAATCTGCAAGACCTTGAATTTTTTTTTATTAACTGCTTGGGTCAGAAGTGAAGTAGTAGTTTATTGCGATGATAATTATGGTAGGGAGATAGGAGGCATATTTGAAAGCACTGATTTAATGTGTGTACAAAGATTGAGATAGGGATAAAAATGGTTAAAGAATATAATATGCTCTAATTTAGAAGCCTGATTCCCCTCCATTATTTTCAATGGTGTGACCTCAGTAAAATGGATGTGCCATAATGGTGAATTAAATCCTTACATGTACAAACACAGGTTCAGAATAATATGATTTTTTAAATCAGTGCTTTTCCACCACTAATCAAAATGTTTCTCTTTTTAGGTTTTGATTATGATATACCTCTGCAGAACAGATGAGCAATGTTCCATCAGTGCTTATCTCCCTTCCCTTTACTTTTGGAAATGGGCTACCACTTTTGGACGCTGCTGCTGCTATTCTGTTCTCTTCCATTTATCAGTCATTGGCCTGTGTGCCCACAGTTCAGATCTAATTTGCTATTTTAAACTCAGCCGTCATTCAGCAGCAGTCCATATCACAATCACAAATAATTTGGTGCAATCTGGTTCAATCTAATTGCTAGCTGGTCTGTAAGGAGACATTAGGAAGAAAACTGAATTGCTCGCCAAGCCAGAACAGCATGGGGTTTTTGTGTCAATGTTCAGAAACCACAAACTGGCTTTGGCTAAAATAAGTTTCTGCCCCCAAAATAATCTGAACCTCAACTCCTCTTAGCAGTTCTGAGAATTTGCACATGGGGAGAGTGTTATCGCAGATTTATGTGCCAGTTCTCCTCCTGGCAGTCCCCTCTTGGCTGCAAAAACCGTGAAGTGTGGCGCTTTGACTTGACACTGGAAATACAGGGTTCTCAGCAATCCAAAGGGCCTTAATATACTGCTGAGACTCAAACCAATCACATGTAATGAAATTCTCTGTTGGCTACGTCCCAGAAGTCAAAACAACTGAGTTGCTGCTCTAGGTTTTATAGTTACAGGAGAAAACTCAGCCATGCCAATCTATACTTGGTGTCATAGCCATGTCCCAGGCTCACCTAATGAATGGATTTATGTGTTTAACATGGAAATTAGGTTGTTACCCTCATGGAAGGACAAAGCAGACCAAGTTGAGAACTTGGCTTCTGAATTGTCAAGAGAACAGACACCTTTCCCACTTTTCAAGAAAGAGCTTATGACATTTTTTTATATTTGTGGGAGATAAGGTTACTTACAAATCAACAACACTTTAAATATAAACTTAGCCTAGGATTTAATTTTTAGTTTACTTTTCTTTTAGCTTCTACAGAAAGAAGGAGCAAATATTATGCAGCTAGCTAATTAGTGAGAGAGTGGGGCTAAGTACAGACAGTCAAAAAGCCCAAGGCTGAATCAATTCAGTCTTTGCATGTTAATCTAAGCTGAGTAGACTGAACCAATAAGCAAGCAAACAGACATTTACTTTTGATTCCAGAAATGCAGCCAAATATCTGCAGTGGCCCAAGCCAGAAGCCAGGGGGCGCTAGAGTATACCTCCTGCTCAGCTGGAGCAGACAGCTTGGGCAAAGGCTAGCCCACCCACCCTGCCAGGCAGGGTTTGTGGGGGCGGGTGCAAAACATCCTGGGATGCTGGGGGACTGTGAGTTAACTTGAATCTGGAGGGGATCTGGGACAGAAGTTCAATAAACCAATTTAACCTAAATCAGTTAAGTCTGATTGATACTATATCCGTCCAGGTTTATCTTAAACAGGTTTCAGCCATTTTGAAAATAGTTTATGTGCACTGAACTTCTGTTGTGTTACAGATTTGACCCGGTTCCCAATCACTTATAGCAGTTCATGTGTAATTTCTCTCCCTAGCCTGGATGTTGTCATAATATAAGATCTTCAACTATCCTGACCATCCTAATATCCCTTCTCTGTGCCTGTTCCTGTTCAAATTAATGCTTTTTTGGAACACAGAACTCCACATCAGAGATAGCTATACATCTGAGAGTTGCCTTTGCCTTTTTCTCAGCTACATTATATTGACAGCCCATGGTTACCAATTTATCCTTGTTTCCTCTGTTGCCCCTAGTTTTGGCAGCTGTAGGTCTCTCACACAATTGTTGACAAGTTTCAACTCTGTTTCACTTGTACATCTGGCCATTCAACAGTTTAAACTACTATGACTGTAAGTATCATATTTTCTTTTATGTAACCCACACTTTTCCCCAAAAAATCAGCTGCTGGAAAGTTGCGATATATGTGAGGCACTATAGTAACAGGAGTTTTGGCCACTTAAGCTTAGGCTGGGCAAAAGTAAATTCTGAACACAATCTGCAGGGAGCAAAATAGTGAGCAGGCTCAGGTTCCCAGCTTCTGCTACTCAGTTACTTACTACAAGGAAAGTTTTTTCCTCCCCTTCATTCTGTCTTTGAAAAATAAGGTGTGTATCTTATTCCTGGGCATTTTGTATGCAGTGAAATATGGTAATATCTAATTTTCCAACAACCTGACACTATAAAGCAATCTGTTAAGTCATGAACATATGCCCATGCAAAACTCTTGGAAGATCTGGAAGCTAGGACATTTTGTAAAAAAAGGCAGGAAGGTCCATAATATTCATATTTGTTTAATATGAATAATATAATACATACCCTTGGAAAATGGACTTTACTTCCCATTTTATTGTACATGTGGTACTAACAGTATGAATGATACTATATACTGGTAAATGAGTAACTAACTTTTAGAAGTGAAATCAGGACAAAATGCCTTGTAACATGTCAAGTGTGTCATTGTTCAACTTTGCAGTTAAAATACCTTTGTAGTGGCAGATTTGTTCATCACTTGGTTCTATCACCTCATGGTTAATGGCAACTCCTGGATGTCTGGCCTGCACTTTTGAAAGAATCTGCAGGTCAATTTCACCTACAAGACAAACATGAAGCAGAAAATAAATCAGGAAGGATAAATATGAGGTTCCTGGTAGACATCAGCTTCCCCCAAGAACTCCCTTAAAAATTAGTAATCATCTTGGTTGCCCTGGAAATTGAGGTATCACATATGCAGAAGACATGTGGCCTTCTACATATTGCTCTAACTGAAGTGCCCCAACTCTTACTTGGAGGATATGTCTCTAGAGATGAAGAGAATAAATAAATGTCAGTAGTCCCATCACTCTTCAGTTGCCTGCTGTGGGTGTCACAAGTCACACCAGATGCAATATTTTATTGCAATGTGAACAGATAACCTCTGGGAATTATACTTTCCATCCTATTTTGTTTCATACATGCTATTAAATAAGTGTCAACAGATATCAACTGGCAGTCACTATTAATGAAAGGTCCATACCCAGAACATGAATCCTGAATTTTTGTAAGATTGATCTGCATCCAAATTTTGTAAATTTGACCCATTTCTTCTCACTACCAAGCCAAGTTAGTGTCCCTGACTCACCACCAGAATCCCAGGGATGTTTTGTGTATTTTTATGAGTGGATTACTGGATTGTTGTCCAAAAGGCTAATTGGCTAACAAGACCCATGAGTGGGGGAGAAAAGAAAAGATGAGAGAAAGATTGAAGACACAGAAAACTGAAGCAAAAACAAGTATGCTTTGTATGCTTAGCTTTTTCCCTGCCTAAGTTGAATATTGTGTCTGTGCATATAGCACAAAGCAAATATCACAGCACCGGCTCTGTTTTATCTGTGCATCAAAGATAGTTCTTTCTAGATATTCAAATCTGCTGCAGTGACGAGTATATTGATAGACCCAATATTTAAATCCTTTGTCCAACATGCTGCAGGCCATAAAGAAGGCAAATAAACTATTGATCTATACCGCATCAAGGGAGAAACCAAGGGTGCTGTGCTGCAATGCTCTATAAGGTCTAGCTTAAACCACTGGCTGGCTACTTGTCTAGCTTTGGTCATCCTATTTGACAAAACATACAGTTAAAGTAGAAAGAGTGAAGCAGAGGGCTACTACAGTGAAAAATGGAAGAGAGGGCCTTATAATAAGGAATGTCTGAGCTTAGTCTTGAGAGCTGCCATGCTTGAACCATTTATATTGAAATTTAAAATTTGAGTTTAATGAGAAACTTAAGCTTGAGGGTCAAACAAGCCTGGAACTGAAAGTCAGAGCACTAAAGAGGGAATGCCTAAAGAGGGATGATGAATGGGTGGTTTACATTTCCAGTCAACGAACCAGGATCAACCAAGTCTAATGGACTTCGTCAACTAGACAACTGGTGACTCAAACAGATGCCGTCCTATGTTTGAGGCTCACCTTTCTGGAGGCAAGCTGGCAACTTTTTACTGATCACGTTACCTCCCTCTCTCCAGCTTAACTTAACCTATGATGCATTGGTTTATTGGGGGGCGGGAAGAGTGGAAGGGAGTAAAGGGAAGGAATGCATATGGTTTTCAATATTCAGGCATCTCACAGTCCTTACTGTATCTCCTCACAACATCCCATCTAGGTAGGAAGAGCTAGTGTTCCCATATCACAGAGAAGGATCTGAGGCACCTAGACACTTGCTCAAGGTCACACTGAACATTAGGTTCAGTTCCCTGCTCTTGCTTTATGTTGCCTGCACTGCAGGCAGGGCCCTGACCATGCTCCTTCTCATCCTCATACTGAAGACATAAAGAACTCTTTGCCCGCTTCTGATCCTACTGTATGTTACTCCCAGTTGTAACTATCTACTACAATCAAAGAGCTTTAATCTTTGCACTAACTAATATTTTTCTTTGAGAATAAATCCCTATGGAAAAAATATAAACATGTAAGGATGGGTTTAATTTTTTCAGGCCTAAGTGCCTTTCTTAAAAGCAATTAATAACATCAAAGCTGTACATGGCATTTATATTCCCGTGTTCTTTCAAGGAAGGGAAATTGAATTTCAGGAGTAACACAAGTAGCTGTGCTTTTCTGCTCCTACAAATGTAGCTTTTTATTGAAAATCAGAGGAAATTAAGTTATTTGCAGGCTGGTGTGGCTAAATCTAGAAAGAAGGAATTTTTAATTAACTACTACAGAATTTTTTATATTTGTTTTCATACCAAGCTTCTGTTAACTGTCCCTTTGAAAACTCTTTGCAGGTTCAGATAAAAAAATATTTGCGTTTCATATTTCCATGTGTTGATAGGTTAATATATTCCTTTCTGCTTTTTCTGTGGCCAAGTCACATGAATATTATTTTTAACCTAAAAAAACCCCAACTTTGATTCACAATTTAATCTACAGGCTTAATTGACTTCAGTTAGTTCTTTTATATGCAAACAAGTGTCCTGAGGCATTTTACAGTCAAATATGTGGCAGCTTGCATTATCAACAATTTGGCAATTAGGCTATTGGAATTATTTAAACTCTCCAACACAATTACCTTTTAAAGGCTACCACTATGCTCACCATTAAGTTTCTAATTAAACATTTTACGTAACGGGATAGTTTATACCACAGTTGCTACTTTATAGCACAGTTGATGACTTTTATGTTTTTTTAAAGGTACAGCAACATTAGGATGCTGTGCACTGAAGTGTAAACTTAATAAGGCACAGGCTATTGTCAAAGGCAGACTGTTCAGACTGGCTGTTATAATGGGTCATGAACAGCTACATTAAGGGTGCTTAAACAAGTTACATTTTTTGCATGATAAGGATCCTGGAAATGCTCTACACCCATGACATAACACAAGTTCATGGCTACAGAGTGTTTTTAAAATGGCCAATCATGTGAAAAATTAACCCTTATTATGTCAGCTATTAGCTGATGGCACTCGAGGGTACAGTACCTTGGAAACTTCTGTTTGGGTTCCCTGCAGGGGTTAACTGCAGGCAATTCAATCTGCATCCCGTGCACCTTTGCAAAGCTGGGTCAGCACCAGCCCAGCCTCACGCCCAGAGTTGTCACAGGGAAATAAGAGTCTTCTCCCTGTGCAGAGGGGAAGGGATAGGGTGTGGGGGGGGAGGTAGGGGAAGGTACCCCTACTAGCATTTTGGAAGGAGCCAGCCTGGGCCCACAAGGAGAGGTGGCTCCCTTCCCCCCTTCCCTGCCCCCTGCCCCAGCTCTGGCTGTGGCAAAGCCGAGCTGACAACTGCGTGCTGCCTCTATCAAGAGGCTCAGGTGGGGGATTGGGGGAATGGAGCCCCTCCCACCTCATGGACCTGCCCCAGCTCCCCCCCAGCAGCCCAGCTGGGGGCTTCTGTGTAAAGCGCCATGAGTTAGAGCGCCTCCCCGACAGGCTGCCTAAACATCTGTAGGCACCCTAAACAGCAAAATTGTCCCTAGCTTTAGAGTGGGGGTACATGGGATGAAGGGTGCAAGCAGCTTTCTGAGGGCAGTCACACTCTGCATGTCAGACAGCCAGAGAAGGGAGGGTGCCAAGGGAAACACAATCCTTCCCTCTGACAGGAGACATTACAGCTTCACAGTAGTTTCGGTATAGGCCTGAGGGTAAATGTTACAGCCTAGCTCTAAATGAAAATGATGTCAGCCCACTAAAATAATGAATGGCAGAACTTTCCTTATTTACTGACGGACACTCAGTGAGACAGGGCAGACTGCACCAGCTCAGAAAGCAGCTTCTTGTAGCGTACATTTGTATGAATAAGACACAAGCCGATTGACTGCAGCATGTGATTTGAGTCCATACTCCCAGCCAGTGAGAATCCAGGTTTTTATGTTGTAGCAAAATGAACAATTGCTACTTTATCAACTCAGTGTCTATCGCACTAAGCTGAAGTCTCTTTGATTAGAGAATTAAGTGCCCCACTAACAGAGCAAAATGGTCCTATTACAGTCAAAATTTTGGCAGTAATATGGCCTCTCTTGTTTGGAAATAAATGTTCCTACTCTGTCACACTGTCTGCTTTATAACCAACACCTTGGCATTTATGTGGTTATTTTTCCTTATAAGGGAAGAATGTAAATGCTTAAGATTAATCTCCAGAGATGAGATGACTAGAGCATTTAAACTAAATTATGAGCTACTTAATTGACTGTAATGGGCATGCTAGAATTAGGGGGCACGTGTTTCAATTTAGGGGATACTTATGCAAAAATGTAGGGAAATATAATTTCATGTAGAAAAACCACTACAGTCTCATTGGTAACATGTATCAATCCACCTATCTCCAGGCTTTCCTGGAAGTGTTGCTTCCAGGATAAATTAGATTTGTTACAAGAAAGTCTGAGCAACACAGTACAAATATGATAACTACCAACACTTTTCATACCCTGCCTTGCCATGTATTGCTATTTTCAGTGGATCTGATGCAATGATAACAGTAGTGAGACATGCTAAGAGGAATATATGTACTGATCTAAGCATATAGGCAGACAAGGTTCTTCGGGCAGATGTGATATCTTTTATAAGCCCAACTCAGTAGTTGGAAAAATTGTTCTTTGCAAGCTTTTGGGCACAAACAACCTTCTTCAGGCATAGGGAGACTTTCTCTAAGACTCTTCCTATGCCCAAAGAAGAGTGTTTGTGCCCAAAAGTTTGCAAAGAACATTTTTTCTAACTAATCAATTGATCTAATAATAAAAGATATCAAATCTACCCAAAGAACCCTGTCTGCCTATGTTAATTCTTGACACTTAATTATCTAATGTATAGGAAACGTATAACAATACCATAAAAGAGAGAAATTCAAGGCAGAATGACTTACAGAGAAATTTAGAGGGAAGCTTGAGATCAAGGGAAGTCAAGATATGCACATTAATTGCTTTTGCAGTAGAAACATGATTGGCTAACTTGAGCCACCTGCCCACAGGTCCCCTGTTCACTGAGGGCAGAGTCTGCACAGGGAATTCAGGAAGAGATTTCATGTAAGGAGCACACATACGGCGCAGGATGAGAGGAAATTCCTCATCCTTTCCCCGTAGGTACATAGAAGCACTGAGAACAATTAATTTCATGTTGTACACTGCAAGGGACAAGATATGGTTGTGGAGACAATGCAGAGTTAGCTACTTGTTTTCTTTTCTCCTCCTTTTCTGCCATGTGTTTCCTTTTCTCCTTTCCTTCTCAGCTAACATAAACAACAACCTCAGAGTCAATACAAGGGTAATGTGCACAGCACCCACAGAGCCAAACCCCTAATTCCCATATAGTTTACGGTGAGAACTCCCAAACATAAATTCAGGCACCAAAGCTTTCCTCTGTTCCCACACAAGCAGAAAGCCCTTGCACAGAAGGATTCTACAGCAGCTAAGAGCAGGAGGGAACAAGGTATTTCCCACGTTGCAGCGCCTCTAACGTATTTCCCACGTTCTCAAGCCAGCAAAGGAAGCACTGGTTAACAGGAACAGGCCTCTAATCAGCAAAAATGAAATAGACTGCTCGCCAATCAGCCATCTGAAATACAGCATTTTATCATGACATTTCTAATAACCATGTTAGGAGGCATTGCTAAGCCCACAGATATATTCTGAATACAGAGTGCCATTTCTGGGATGGTTTTGGCATGTAGAAAGATAGTAAGTCTCAGAAGGCCCATTTTTACTACAGAACTAAGTTGGGATTTGAACTTATTGTTCAAGGATTGTCAAATGTTCCCTGCTCTACCAAACTGCAAATTCTCCTCTGTGTTTTGCAACCCACTACTTGTTGAAGGAAAAAAATATATAGTTATATTTCAGATCTTACCGTACCTGCCCCACCACCTACACTGAGAATATTGATTGCAGACTTTCCATTGCCAATGCTGAAAACAAAAATGAGTTTACATATTTCAGGATAGATATTCAACATACAGAATTGTGTTAGCTACTTCAAAGCAACAAGTAATGACTTCATATTAAAACATATAGGAAAAAAACCCACCATATAAATGTGTGTGTGCATGTGTGTGTACCTGTATGTATATCTGCTTATGTTAGTACAGCACCATACATGTACAGGCAGACATGGGCAAATTAAAATTCTTGCTTAATTTTGAATCAGTCATCACTCAGACTGTACCTGAGTATTACACCCATATTATAACGGAATAAAAACAGAAACCTGCGTATACTTTTTTCACTTCCCTGCTCAGAGGAAAACCTATTTCCACAAACCTATGCAAATGTAAATATATTTCTAATATGTATCTGTGTACACAGGTGTTTGTACTGTACTTGATTGCACCTGGTCATGGCTTTGGTTTATAAGCTGTCCAGGACAGAGATTGCTTTACTGTTTTATACAGCTTGTTTGGGGAAGCATATATACAAGCCTGTATTTACACCAGCGTAAATCCAGAGTTGATTCCACTGATCAGTAAGAATGCAAGTGCCAAGAGAGAAGGCAGGACAAAGAATGATAATCTTTGGCAAAAGGAGCAGAAATGCCTACAGTAAGGAAAGTACCCCTTCAGGCCCCTGGCCAACATTACACTTCAGACATGATTAACCAATTAATCACATCTTAACTAGTAATCCAGCCACGCATTCATGCAATTAATGGTGAGATAAAACAGGGAATAAGCCACCAAACTAGTACACAAAATGTGTGTAATAACTGTTTGACTAGTTCCCATTGCACCTAAATTGATCGTGGGGCCAGCACTGACAAACTTATCAGTGCTTGCAGACTTGGGAGCACCAGTCAGTTGATCAGTGCTGCCAGCTGTGACAGCACATCGCGGGCCCTGGTTCAGGAAGGGCCTCCATTCTCCTGACCTCCCATGGCTGCAAACATCAGCTGAACTTGCTCCTTGTCAGCCCAGAGGGAGCCAGAGATTGTGAATCTGGGCTCCCTCTGCAATAGGGCGTGACTGGGATCTGATCCACAATTGTGCCTCCTGCCATGCCTGGTAAGAAGCACAATTGTTAGGATCAGATCCCATTGCACCTTCAACTGAACATCTGTCAGCAGCCTCAGTTATCTTGGTGCTCATGGATAAGATCATTTCTCCATTGAAATCAATATCAAACTCTGATTTCACTTTCTGTTCAAAGCGATTCTGACAGAGTTAGCAGGACCAAAGCCAGCTCAGAAGGAGAGGCAGCCAAGCCTACAGAGCAGGACTCAGTTGCACAATCTAGGACCCTGGAAACAAATGGGAAGAGGAACACGGCAGAGTATGGAATTAGGTTGAAGCCAAAGATCTTTCAAGACAAAACAAAGCGGATATGTTTCTAGACAAAGGAAAGATTGTCAGGGGAGCATAGGAGGGTTTTGAAGTTAAGAATCAGGAATGACATAAATAGAAGAGACAAGGGGTGTAGGAAAGGGGACACGGAGGAAGAACCCATGGTTAAGGATTAGTGCATGGGTAGAGCGGTGTGAGAGGAGAATGACAGCGACGTCAAGTAGAAGAATGATTTGATTTGAAAGAAGATGGTCAGGAGGGAGGGAAAGCAGGGAGGATAGCATTGGGCAGCAGAGAACAAGAGACAAACAAACATAGTCAAACTATCATGGATGCTCCTTCACTGAATGGCTCTATTCATTTACCCTGACATGTGTAGTTGTCACCTTATATATTTAGGGTGGTATTTCATGTTACAGTAGTCAACATGCTGCAGTTTATTTTGGAAATCCAAAGAAATCTTAATAAGACATGAGCGGACTGTCATTTTCATAGCATAAGTTTTTGCTGGGGATCAGAGCTATATCACAAGGCTTCCTACAAGACGGATAAGTAGTGGGAATCAGTGGGGAGTTCTGAATTCATTAAGCACGCTGTATATGTCCATAACAGTCACCTGATGAATTTAAGAGAGAAAATGCACAAATAAAAGACATTCTGAAACATAAGCCTTTCTAAGGGGATGATTTCTGAGCAAGAATATTTTGTATTACAGCTGGGCAGGAAATTTTCTGTCCTCTGATTTTTTTTTTCTTCATTAGAAACTTGTCCTAAATCGGTATAAAAAGTGAAAAGACTCAATGTTGTTCATGAGCCAGAAATTAAAAAGAAAAGTTTCAGAAACACTGAAAATGTCCTTGCTGCTCAGGCCTGCCACCTTCCCAGCAGCCCATCTGGTGGGCTGGTGGGTTATCTGGGCATAACGGCTCCCTGGCTTCTCAGTTGGCAAACTGCCCAGAGAAGCAGGGAGCTGGCCAACTGGCAAGCCGGCAAGCTCAGGGAGCCGGCAAACAAAGACAGACTTCCTGCCAGGTGGACAGCCAGGGATCTGGGTAACCCACAGGTCCAGGAGCTGCAGAGCCAGGAAAAAGAGACGGTCAGGAACCAGCACACCCGGTTTCTGTTGGATGTTTTAATGCAATCCATGTGGTCCTGTTGAGAACTTTCCAGTGGAAAATTCCAACATAAAAACTTCAATCCACTCTGCATTGTACGTATATCATATACTACTTTTGCTTAATAACCTTCTTGCACTTTTCTGTGTGCTTTTTATCTATGTGGGAAACAAGCCACCGAGACATTCACTAACTGGACCAAGTAGTGCTATAACTAGAGTGCGACGACCAAGACAAGTGCCCTGGGCACTGACTTGGGATGGGGAGAGGGGGGCAGGAGGGCACAGTGAGAAGTTAGAAGCGCTGTGACGCTGCCTGGCCACATTGCTACACCACTAAGATCAAGGCCCAGGAACAAGACAGTAGCTGAACAGAAAACTGACATCATAACCAGAATGCCCACTCTCCAAAGTCTGAAAGCTCCCACTGCCTTCCTTAGAGCTAGGATTTCACCTTTTAATGCCCAAATCCTGCTCCAGTCTACAAAAGACAATTTAATACATATGTAAAGAGAAATATGCAAACCTATAAACTTACTAGGCTACTAACTGTATTATCTGAAAGCTAGAGAGAATCCAACTATTACCCGAAAAGCTTATTTAAGAAATCCTGAATTAATGTACATGTTAAAATCCTCTGCTTTCCCCCCAAATTTATTTTTCACGTTAGTTTTTATTCTACCTAAGCAATATTTGCAGACAAAGAAACAATTAAATCTTATCTATATCCCAATAGACAGACTCAGCCACAAACAGAGGCCTTTCAGAGGAATGTGTAAATTAAATCTCTAACTAAGGCACTATCAAAGATCTACAGAAGGGGGGGAAGCAATCTATAACTCTCAGGCAGTCCTTTCAAGCCCTGACTCATGCAGTCAGGAGCATACATTTATCACTTGTGCAGAACTGTATCAAGGGTTTGTCCTTTTGATAAAATGTCTGACTTTGTTACCTTGATATTATGTCTGGCAGCTTCTTCTCAATGAATTCCAGCATGCACTCATGCTCTGTTGAATTCTCAAGGAACAGACGGAAAGATTCAACATATCGGCTATGGTTTGAGATCAAGCTCCTCATGGAAGATGCCATGTTTGGTTTTATAAGGAATGCAAAAAAGAACAGAGCTTTTCTCCTTCTGTTTTTTCACTTCAGCCCTAGGAAAGGAAGAAAAAACAAATTAAAACCACAGACTAAAATCTAAAACTGCTTCAATATCAGATGCCGGAACTGTATCTAACCACTGAAAAGTACTTGTATAATCATTATATCTACATTATTGCTGAACTTTGTTCCGTGACCTTGGCCCATTGTTTTAGATTAGAAACATAGCTGTAAAAGGACCTTCTTGTATTTAAAAAGAATGACATGAAAGACACTACTTCAGGTTTGAAAGACAAACAGCAATAGGTCGCATATAAACTCCATGACCAAAACATCAGCATTTCATCAGTGATGGAACAGGACCCAGTTCAGATCTAGGAAGCACCCTGAAGTTTTTTCTAAATGAAACTTTAAAAAATCCCGGTATTTCCTAAATGGAAAGAATCTGCTTTGAGCCAGAGGGAGGTGAGGCACACATTCTCACAGAAGCTCAGCACTGCTTTTTTTTGTTTGTTTTCAGCCAGATGGTGTTTTAAAGAGGACTCGGAGCAGTAGATGGATGGGTGGATGCCATAACATTTTGGTAAATGATGCTTTTTTTAAAAAGTAAATTATATAGCACCTTTTTCCTGAGAAGAGCAAAATACTCCCCAAGCATTCATCAGTGAAGTGTCACGAAAGCCATGTTAAACCCGGAGCAAAGGCAGGAGTTGGAACTCCAGTTCACAAGTAGGGAAAATTGGCACAGAGCAGGTAAAATAAATGAAATGGAAAGATCATGTAGGGTCAGAGGAAAAAGCTCAGACCTGAAAACAGACTCCTGAACCTTGTTTCTATACTGCAGCAGAAGACATGTCTCTTCCCCACATCTGTTCCTGTGCGTGGTGGCGGGAGATTGGGCCAAAACAACCTCTGCAGGAAGTAGATGGATGTGTTATGCCTCTGAACAAATGGAACTGAATAGGTGCTTTGATCCCTCTTTTCACAGCTGCCTAGCAGCCCTTCTCTCTATTATTCCTGAATGGACTCATTTGCCTTAATTTTATTTAAACCCTTTTCCAAATCCTTGAGCTAAATTGCCCCTAAAGGGAACGGTTAAAGAGAGTCAAAGCAGTTGCCTACCTTTCTGTCCGATGAGCTCTGGAATGGGAGCAGCTCGCTGAGTAGAGCTACGGCACGGTACTTCCTGGACTTGGTTGCCATGCAACCATCATAGCAGCCCGTGGGCTCTGTCTCTGCTCAGTTATCTCCTTTGAGCATACAGGAGGAGAAATATAAAATGCAGAGTTTCAGCTGGGTGCTTCCTCTCGGGTGCTGGGCCTTTGTGTCTGCACAGTGTTGGCTGGATTTGCATTCTTCGGTGAATGTTAGTTTGGTAACGGCAAAGGGACTCCGCTGATGAACTGCTGTGCAACTGCAGTGTCTTTTGCTTTCAGTGCGCTGCACCCCTACATTACCCAGAACTGGCTGCATGAGCTATTTTGTTCTGAGGGCCTGGGCAGGTGACACATTTATGCCTGTGCAACTGCCTCACACTGGTCCAAAAGGCAGGATACCAACAGTGCAAATCCCTAACCCGGGTAACTTTGCTCAATTCTCTGTAAGTTGCACCAGGTTCAGTATCCACTCGAAATGCCCAGGGCAGCCCTTTGCTAAGCAAACAAGTATCACCTGATCCATAATGATACAGTAATAACTGTCCAGTGTGTGCATCTACCCTAGGGTACCACACTGTGGTTTGCCTATTCGTGATTCTGGTGTAACAGAAAAAACAAACATAAATTATACTGGAGCATGTGTTCATCTGTCCAAGCCCATGGTCATTACAACCAGTCACACAAAGCTATGAGACTTGCCCAGAGGATGTCTACTGGACTGTTCCCAACGAGATGCTTTCATGTACATGAGGAAACTGCTACTACTACTTGGCATCCTATCCCACCCTGCTCTGTACTGTCACAGAAAATAATTCAGCAGGGCTCATCAAAAAAAGCACGCTCCTCCACTCCCTTCTCCTAGCTTGCTGGGCTGGCATCCTTTGGAGAACTTCAGGGTGGTTTTCAGAGGTTCAGGAATGGAAGAGCAGCTTGCAAAATCCTCAATCCACTGCCCGCTTGGGATTCGCTGACCAGCGTCCCTTCACTCCGAGACACAAAGGATACAAGGTGAATGGAAAGCCCACATCTTGTTTCTGGGTGACACTTACTGGTGCTAATGGTGACACTACACATGAACTCTCTCGCTCCCACTGCCCACCACCAGAGCAGCAGGAGACTTTCGCCCCGTTATTCCCTCTCCTTAGCATTTGTCACACAGCTCACTCAGATCTTATTCCCTGCATGTTTCCAGGCCATCATCAGGAGCACAAGCCAGGTTTTAATATATGTGGGCTGTTCTTGCCAAGCTAAATACTCACTCCATCTGTACACTAGTAACTGCGGGCTTTTTTGTTGTTTTTTGGTTGTTGGTTTTTTTTTTTTTAAATAGCCAAAGACTGTGCAGTCACATAAAACTAGGAGGTCTCTTTTGGTTCCACTATACCGGTGTTTGTTATTGTGTTATTGCTGCTGCGTGGATGATGTGAAAATAGCTTAGTAGTCTTTTTCTCACTCCCAACAGACAGTGCCATAGCAAGGGGGGCAAGTGGGGTGACCGCCCTGGGTGCTGAAGTGAAGGGGCGCCAAAGGGCACTGCCTAGCCAGGGCAGGGCATGAGGCAGAGCCACAAGAAGATCATTTGGTGGGCATGGGGACAGGGGGAGGGCAGCTCCTGCCGCTTTGTGCACTCCTGGGCAAGCATGGGGTCGGGGGTGCCCCCCAGATGTGCGTGCGGGGCGAGGGCAGGCTGACACTTTGGGCTTTGCCCTGGGTGCCAAATTTCCTTGCCATGGTACTGAGAATCTATGCTATGGAAACCAGCACTATGGCTGGCACGAACGGGCAATATTGTTGGTAGTCCCAACAAACAAGCTGTGGAGAAAGCATGGCCGATCTCCTTGGTCACCTGCGTGCAATAGAGGTGTAAAGCGCTACCAACCAGAATAGGCATTACTGTGATGGTTTCCATACAGTGGAGTCTTACGGTATACTTGGTGCTTTTAAAATCAATGCTTGGCACACAGCTGATGTATATCAACCCCAAAACAATCATTTAAGGTTCTTAAACTGTTATGTTCCAGCAGGTTTACCATCTCCAGGGGCTCAAAAAATACTCTGACCTGGAGTCTCCAAGGCAACTAATACTAATAAGCAGAGAAGGTTCTAGGCTGATTAGGTTACATCGTTTCAGTTATCAAAAATGGCATTCCCGGAGGTAATTCCTTACAATATGTCCAAAAGGAGACTCTGAATTATCAAGGGATAGTATTCAAGTTGCCTCTTTGTTCCTCCACCAGAGATAATTCTATATCCCACAGGTCCCCTGATTATGGGTCAGCTTTTTAGTAAGAGAGCCCTTTTGTAGTTTTTATGCACTGAAATGTTGCATAGAGAAACACAGAACTATATAAAAGTAGGACTGGGAGGGATTTTTGAAAGGTCACCTAGTCCAATTCCCTAAACTTAGGCAGGATCATCCCTCCCCAAAACATCCCATACAAATCCATTGTCTAACCTTGTAGCAAAACTGCACAGTCCACCCTGGCACAACACAAGAAATAACACTCGAATCTGCCACAGGTAAAGCAGAGGGACCATGATATCCAACATCCTGCTGATGCACATGTTGTTTAAAATATGCTCAAGAGATCCCAGGAAAAGAGTAGAGGGAGAGGTGCTACAGAGGAGAGCAAAAACCTCCACAATGTACACCAGGCTGACCATGGGTTAAAATTCCTTCCTGACCCCAAATATGGCGATTGGTCTGACCGGGGTTGGGGAAGGGCAAGGCCAGGAACCTCTGTATTTAAGTCCCAGCAGGAGCAATGGCACACCCCAATTAAAATCCCCAGCCTTGGCTGCAACCAACACCCAATACCTCTGAGGAAGGTTTTAAAAAAAAGCAAACCCAGACACATGTAGCAGCAAGAGAGGGGAAAAATTCCTTCCAGGCCCTGTGCAGGCACCAGCAAAGTTCATAAGCTTGGAAAATACCCATAGTATAACAGGCATAGCTATGCCTACATTATCTCTGAACAATGCTTGTCCACCCTCCTCTTGGACACCTCCAAGGATGGAGATTCCACAACTTCCCTCGGTCTGTACCGCTGTCTCACTTTTCTGACAGTGCAGAAGGTTTCCTGATATCCAATCTAAACCTACTTTGCTGCAACTTCAAGCCAATGGCCTGGGGCAGGGGACACTGCACATGTGTCTGTGAGCACTGATTCACACTTGTCCAGGCCCTGCACTCCTGCCAGCCCTGGCCTCAGGCCCCGTGCTCCTGCTGCCCTGGTCCTGGGCACCAGTCCAGGCCCTGCACACACAGCCCCTGCCCGCCCCTTCTCACTGCTGCTGCTGCCCCACCCC